CATCTTCAAAACTCATTTAGACAGAAACTATAAAACAGTATTTACAACCACTCCCCCCACCTCCATTCATTCTGTTCCCAAATTAAATTCACGACAAATAAAAAAAAAAAGAAGATTGTTGTTTATCACAATTACTGACAGTGTTTCTGAGGTACAAAATAATAATAATAATATTACAAGACTCTGACACACATAATGAAACCAAACCCAGTAAAGTTGAAAGTAGATGGAGGTGGAGTGGACTCACACGACAGTAAAGAAACGCAGCGTCATCAATGAGTCTTATGACATCCTGGTCAGTAACAGGGTTGCGACAGAGCGACTCTCTCAGCAACTTTGGCAAATTTGTGGCCTTTTTGGGGAGAAAATAAAAAAATCCTGTTTTTGTCACCAAAGTGCTCACGTATTTAAACCATGGGAGAGAGCGGCCTCTTATCTGACCTCTGAAAAAAACTGAAACAACAGAAAAGTTTCCTCAAGACTCAGAAATAAAAGTGGTAAATGTCAGTGGGGCAGAGGGGGGGGTTGGGGGGAGGTGTACCTTTCAAAATAAAGGTTTATTCTCTCAAAAGATGGAAAAAAAACAGCAGTGATTGACTTTATTTGTAAAATTTGAACCAAACTTGTGGTAGATGACAGCTTTTATTTAAAACTCATTCGTTCCCGTCAATACTCCGGACTGAACATCTGTCGGTGATTGTGCCGCTCGAGGATTATTATCATTGTTCCGCTCTCAGCTTCAGATGGTATCTTACTGTCGATCTCAGGTATTTTCATGAGCCTGCAGATGAATCACAGGTTTCCCAAAATTGTGCAACGCTTCCCCTGAGGTGAAACAGACACTCGTTCCCTATATTAAGTCACATCCTGCCGTTGATCCCTGTGCTGGAGATTCTGGACTGAAACGTAGGTTTGCTGCTGGGAAAACGTTTCATTATTCGTAAGAGACAGGAAACAAGGTGTGAGATGATAAAAGTACAAGTTGGGATGAGATAACAGGAGAAATAAAATGGTTTTGTATTCTTTACAGAGTTGAATTGCCTGTAAATAAAGAAGGACGGCATAAAGTACAGGTCGTAAACCCCGCCTCCTCCATGTTAGTAGACGAACCAAACTAAAAAAGACAAAAGGTTTCTGTCGTTTTATTCAGTTCTTGTCACACTGATGCTTGTTCAGGTGTTTTTTGGTTTTAATCAGTTATCTGATGCTACACGTACGGGGGAAACGTCATGATTGACAGCTGAGACTGACGCAAGATGGCGGCGCGTTCCATTTTGGCTTCACTTTCTGAAGGATAGTGGAAGGAAGTGGAGACGCGTCGTCCATCTTTATTTACAATCTTTTACAGGATGTTGTTGATGATGTGTTATTATCCATTTACCTGATGAATACATGAGTAATACAATATAAATATAATATAATGCCAGAACGATGTTTGAAAATAAAAGAGTTGCAGGGAGTTCGGCCACTAAAAGCTGAAATGAATCTATTATTCACTTGTGTGCGTTGGTTAAGTTTCCCTCCAGGGCTTCACGTGACAGTTTTAGTGACTCACAAAAGTAACGAGCACGTGAAAAACACTTGTCAGTCCTGTGAGCAAAACTTTTGTCATAAAAAAAAACCATGAAAACAAACAGTGTTTAATCCAGGCTGCTGCCGTTTGATGGTGTCTTGATTCTCCACATTGAAATGTAAATAGTGTTGTTGTGAACATTTTACAGTTTAAAATAAAATAGAAGACAAAGACGTGCACCACAGTTTCAACGCTCGACTCAAACTGAAGTGTCTTTAAGGCAGCGCGAGGCCAACACACACTCACTGCCTCCAGAACGTTTCTTCTTCCTTTGGGACGAACGAAGAATAAACTGGATGCAGGAGACAAACAGACGAAGCATCAAAGTTCCGTTCAAATAACTGATAAATTATTGGCATAAATACGAAAAGAGTAAAACACGAGCACAGCTCAGACCCATGACGCTTCAGCCCACAAGACAACAAGTCGAGTTAAAGTCAGAAATGAGTTTCAAACTAAAACACAGGACAGGAAGGCACAGTGAAGGATTTCAAAGTAAATCGACATCAGCTACTTTCTTCAATCTTTGGCTAAAATTGACAGAAATCAGTTTTAAAAACACTTATTATATTTCCACGTGAGGGCGCCACCAGATTAGCTGTAAATTTGAACGCCTCAGCAGCACAGCCAGTATTTCTTCTTGAACTTGTTCACAGCACTTGTGACATTAAAGCTTTTCCCTTGATTGAAAATCACAACAGGCCATGACGCAAACAGACGAAATAGCAAGTTATTCCAAGTAACAGAAAAAAAGAGAAATGAAATCAGCATCTTGTCAGGCTCCGCTTTCAGATTCATGCTGTCAATAAAAAAAGAAGTGGGGGAGGAGCTTCTGTTGTGATCAAAAGACAAATCATATGTCCCTCGGGCGAGAGGCGGGGCCAAAACGACCAGATGTTTTAGTCCAGATTCAGTAATTTTACTTTTTTTTTTTACTTTGACAAAACTTCAGAAGTTTGATGAAGTGACTGGAAACATGTCGGCGTTTGTTTAAAATCTCATGTTGTTGATTTCACGAAGCGGCGACGGTAAAAGAAAAAGAAAAGTCCGAAATCTTCTGTTTGATGCAAGTTTTCATGAAAACTTTTTTCTTGCTGTCAGCATGAGGCTCCTGACTTCCTACGTTTCCCAGAATCCCCTGTTGTTGGATTCACCCGTGATTTGTGTGTTTCAAACACAGACGGTTTTTAAAGATGGACGACATGACAGCTCAATATTAGAGATGGTTTCTGTTCTCATCACACTGATGTCAGAGAGTTTCATTTGTTATGTGATGATTTAAAAAACATCTCTACTTCAAATTACGTCAAAAGCACAAGATGGCCGACCGTAGTTTTGGATATTTTGGCTTCATTTATGTAAAGTGGGAAAAAGTGGAGACGAGTCGTCCATCTTTATTTACACTCTATGGTTTTAAGTGGGAAGAACACTGACCAGAGAGCAGTGTGTTTACAAATCAACCTCTACCATGATCCCTGTGTGAATGTGCAAAATTAATAAACTCTGGTTTTAAAAACAAAAACTCGATGTATGGTTTATTTTTTTTCATGTTGTATATCACTGGAAACATTTCATTATAAATATCTGTGGCTTTGAAATCAGAAAAAAAATCTATTACATGACACAAGACGAGTGACTTCTGGGATAAAGTTCACTTTAAAACCTCAGCAGATCGAACAGTTTACTGGAGTGTGAGCAAGAAACAAAAAAAACCAAAAAATAAAACCCCCAAAAAAAGAACCATTCTTTGTGAAAAAATTATTTTCCAATTAAAGTGACAAGAGCGTTGCTCGACGTCAGGGTAGAGCCGTGTGCTCAGCGACAGAAACATGAAACAACGATAAACGTTCAAGTCGCTGCTCATTATGCGAGAGCGACCCCCTTCCCCCAGAGCTGATTAAAAAACCCCAAACATAACCACCGAATGCAAAAAGAACATGAAACACGTAAAATCTCACAATCAGGCAAAATAACAATCTGATTTCTCGCCGCGCTCATTGACAAAAATATATTTACACACACGTTAAACCAAATAAATAAAATCTCTGATTTCTTATAGTATTTTCTAGTCACAAGGTGATCAAGCTTCCCTCTTTTGGTTTCTGTTCCCATCAAGTCTGCTGATGGCCATTTTGGTCAGACACACACACAACCCCACCCACCCACCCACACCCACACACAAACACACACACACACACACACAC